AAATTTATTCATACTTATTAATAGGATTTAGTTTTACCTTCTTTCTTTAATATCTTTTCAATTGTATAGTGTTAAGGTTATAATTTATTTCTATAAATATAGATGGAAGGACAAAAGAAAAACCAAAGAGGAGCCGCCATATAATAGAAAAAAAAACAAAGAGAGGATAAAATAACAGAAAAATGAGAAACAAAAAGAGCGCTAGCCAAGATATGCTAAGGGCTTCAAATTCGATTTTTTTCCCTTATATGCAAGCTTGGTAGATTTTGTTAAAGACTATTCCATTAGACTAGATTTTGTGATTGTTTGGTTTAATTCTTATGGTCATCAAATTTTAAATTCTTAGATGTGTATTGAATTTATGCAATCTCTCTTTTTTTTCCTTTTCCTTTTCCTTTTCTTTTTCTTTTTCTTTTTCTTTTTTTTTTAGATATTGCAGTTCTCCATTATAAAAGGTACTATTTGTTGTGATTTTTTTTTTTTTTCTAAAATTGAAGAACAAAAATGTGCTACCTTAAAAAAATGAAGATAAGAGTACCTGCTTCGCTTTCATGCATTAGTGATTATTAAAATATGAGTGATGTTATAAGGATAATCTTTTTATACCACTTTTATATATAATTTTTATATGTCATTAAATGAGTGAATGCATTCAATATCACAGGTCTTATATGAATTAAAAAAATCAATCATTTAAATAACACGTCAAATTATACAAAAAAGTGAGATAAAAAGTTTATATAAAATCATTTCCCTTAAAATATTATAGTGCTCTAAAATCATTTCCATATCAATGCCCTAAAATAATTTTTTGGTTAAAACTGAATCTAATTCAAATGGTTATTTTTAAAAATATAATCAAAATTGATAAAATTTGTTATTTATAATTTAATCAATAATTATGACTAAAATTTAAAACTTAAAACTTTAAATAATCAATAATTTAATTCTAATTATAACTAAAACCAAACCATACCCGCAGCTACAAACATTGCCCTGGGCATGGAAACCATGAGCTGATCTGGCTTCATCAAGTACCGCCATGTGCTAAAGATCTATTCCGCCTTCTCAGAAAGACAACCACGACCAGAAGCATAAAAGCAAGTTGATACCAACCACCTACAAATTCGGAAAAAAGAACTTAATTTTTTTTAAATAAATTTTTAAATTTAAGTATTACAAATGGAGGTAAATATTAAAATAACTTTAAATATGATGTGATTTAGTTTTAAATTAATTAAAATTTAATATAATTTTTAATTTTTGAAAATTTAATACAGGAAAAAAATAATAAATCAAGTCAATAACGAGTCTTTGGCCATCTGCCCTGACCCACCTCTTGCTGTACAAATATAAAGCAAGTCAATGGTCTTCGCCCCCAGCCACCTTGCTGCCTATATATAATACGTAATATTCTGTCTCTGCTTATTAAAACACCAAAACACAAGATTCAGGGCAAAAAATTATGCAGAAGAAATTGTTGTTGTCGATGGTGGTGGTGATGGTCATATTGCCATCTTCGACCGTTGCAGCAAGTTCAAATATTTCTTTAGAAAACTGCCCGCAAACATGTGGAAACGTTCACGTCCCTTTCCCTTTTGGATTTGGCCGTCCTGAATGCGCCAAAAACTCATCCTTCCTGCTTGAATGCAACCAGAGCAGTAGCCTCTTGTATGGCAACATTACAATTAACAACATATAATTGGAAGTGGGCACCATCACCGGACTCATTAACGCTGTTGCCTACGCTTGCTACAACAGTAGAGGTGAGTTGATTGATAAGTCAAGGCAGTTTATCAGCCTCAACGGATGGCCGCTCATCATATCCCCCACCGGCAACAGGTTTATTGGCTTTGGCTGCAACACGCTGGCCAGGATGTACGACAGAGAAGGAATTCTTGAAAGTGCGTGTGTCTCCATGTGCAATAACCTTTCCGACATCAGGAACGACGGTTCTTGCTCCAGTTTCGGATGCTGCCAGACCCCTATCCCCAGTCACCTCGACCAAGTGAACTTTACGGTTTCCTATGCCTTTTTAAACAAAAGCATTTGGAAATTCAGCCCCTGCAGTTATGCTTTTGTGGTTGCAAAATCATTCGATATATCGAAATTAGACTTCCTTGGTCCCCCGAAAACTTTTCCATCGCGGCTACCCGTGGTGTTTGAATGGGTGATCGGAGATAACGGGGGCTGCCAAGATTATTGCGGCCCTAATGCTAAATGCTCTTACGCCGATACTGTTGGTGGATTTCGTTGTTTGTGCAAGCCAGGGTTTATCGGAAATCCCTATGGCCCACTAGGATGTCAAGGTACTTCATATTTACAATTGACTTAATTTCTTAAAAAATCTAGTAAGTTTTATATTTTTATATTTTATTTATTTTTTAAATATTTTTAAATTTATCTTGTATCTTTTACTTTTATTTTAAATTAGTCTAATCTGTTAACTTTTTACTAAAAATTTTACTTCATTTGGTTAAATTAACCTTCAATTATATTTTTTGTGAATTTTTACTTATTAAAACTAATTTTGAAATAAAACTAATTTTGCGAGGATAATAATTTTTTTTTCATTATTTGAAGAACTGTAATTTTTATCATATGTTGCTTTAATTTTCCTTTTTTGATAATTATCTTTTGTAGCAAAAACCACAATTATTGACATGTTTTAACAACTAGCACAGCTTATAGTGGACTGCTTTGTTGATTAGATTACTTTGTTTTGATTTTTATTTAACTTTTCTTTTTTTAATTAAAACTAATAAAAGTTTTATATAGTAAATTATTCTAAAATATTTTACAAAGTCTATAGATTATTTAGAAAAAAAAAACTAACTTTTTACATTAAAATGAAATTAGGCTAAATAGTTAATAGATCAATTATTAAATTAAGCCTACAATTAATGCTTTCGGGAAAAAAATTTTATAATACGTTTTACTCTATATTTCTTTATTATTTAGTAAAATTTAATTCTAAATTTTATATAA